AGTTTGTAGCTGAGCAGCTTGGGTGATCGCATCAGGGTTACCGTTGCCGTGCTTACCAGAAAGGTACTGCTTTGTGTCTTCGTTGGCCTTCTCAACGTCACGGGCGACATCGAAAGTGTAGCGAGGCGTCTCGGGAATGGTGAGGCGATAGTAGAGCGCGATACAAGCTGGGACGATGCCAATTCCGATGAGAGCGCGCCACATCTTGTCGACAGCTACAGCGCATTGACCGTCACAGTCCGCGTAGCCAGTAACTCCCTTAAGGGTGTCCTTAAAACCAGCGACAAGGCAAAGCATGACAAGAGCACCACCGAGCTGACCGAAACCTTGCATAGCAAAGACGGCACCCATCATGGCACCACGCCACTTGGTAGTGGCGAACTCGGAGGTGATAATGGAGGAGAGCGGGTAATCACCACCGATACCTGACAGTCATCAGTAAAACTTCCATGCGGATTCCCAGAGAATGGACTCACCAATTCCCATCAACACACGCCAGAAGATGATCAGACCAACGATTGAAGTTCCGGGACCAGGACCCGTGAGGGACTGAGCGAGCGTGGCGACAATGATGAGAATCAGCTCAAGACCGTACATCTTCTTACGGCCAACGATGTCGGCGAGTGTACCGAAACCGACTTGGCCAAGAACAGTACCAGCTGAGGTCGCAAGCTTGATAGCTGTGTCTTGTTGGGTGTACAAAACACCCTTGTTGTCGTGCTTGTAGACAATACCCAGCATAATCGTCAAGAGAGATACGCAGAAGATGTCATAACTGTCCGTGAAGAAACCAGTACCGGCGACAAGAATGGCGCGTACATGGTACCAGCCAAATGGCGCCTTGTCGATCTCAGCGAGTGCAAGCCGGCGTCGCTCATTAGGATCCTCAATGTGCTGGGACCAGTCAGTATATATGATTTTGGAAGTCTAATCCGTGTCATCCTACCGCAAAGTCGTTGTTGAAGTTGTGGAAAGCGGCGTTACCGCCAGCTGTCTTGTGAGCCATTGCGAAGCTTCGCCGAGACGTGTCAAGAGATTAGACGAGGCTTGAGTCCGGAAATGACGGCTGTGCGAGCTGGAGGTCAGTGGTAAAGGGTGCAGGGCCAAGCTATATACCTGCTGTCAAGCTTACTCCCAAGGCTGAGCATCATGCTTGCATACCAAACAGGCCGCTCCAGGACCCAATGGGAGCACCGCATTCTTGCACGCCCATAGATTTGCAATATTCACTTCGGCCTTTCCGCTATAACAGGCAGACACACGCGTAGGAATGCGCCTTTGCCAGCCCAGGCCGCCACAAGGGCTTGACGGGTCTTGACAGTTATCCCTGTCGCACATCTCGTGTGGTGAAAGTGCGTCTTGGGGGAACTCGAGGAGAAGAGGTTCAACCCAATCATGTAGCCCACGTGCACCGCCAAGACGCTAAGATGAGCACGGCCAGAACACCTCTCCCAACATCGCCCCGAATCACGTCTGGAGGATCGAAGCTTCTTCACGCTCAGCGCGCTCTTGGTATGCTTGTGTGCATAGCTATGATTCTGTGGCGTGTTCATCAGATGCTCCATCAGCATTGGCAGTGACATCAAACGCTTCTGTCGCCGATCTATCTCATCATCTTCATCCGCCTTCACCTTATACGTGCAACACGTGGGAACTGAACATTGTACCGCACCCCACGCCGGAAGCATCTAGCCCAGGACCCCGTCAGCTGGGGTTTCATGCACGGAGTTACTGTCTCCGCTAGCGTGCCATGCGAAACCCGTCTTCTGGACTGTCGGTTGGTCCCGATAGCACTCTGCTTACCAGCACACTGGCATGTTAGCTTCCTCACTAACATCCAACTGGGTATGAACAAGCAAATTCTGACATGGTGAGATGCATGCCTTCCGAGGCTACCCTCGTCTAGGGATGCTGCAATGACCGACGCATGGCTCTATTGGTCTTTCACTAATATCGGTGTTTCACTGCCGAGCAATTCGCGCCCAATCACATCGTCGCACGTGGGAGAGAACCGCAGCGATTGTGCTTAATGGGCTATAAGCGTTTCCGTCGCTGGGCTTGAGCTGCAACTCGTAACACCATCTCGAGCGTCATGTCGAAAGCTTCCGTTCCCAAAGCTAAGCACTCTAGCAGTCCCCCCATGGCCCAGAGCTTTATGAAGATTCATTACTCATCTTCACGGTCACAAACGAGGTTCATTTCATATTGTTAACTGTGTTCGAGTCGAATACCCAGCGGAGAGGTTCCAGAAGTGGGGCACTGCACGACATGCAGGGAAAGATGCAGTACTTGGATCCAGGGGCTTTGTTGGAAGTTCTATGTCAAGATACTGGTTGCTGGCGAGTGTGGATTCACGGCCTCACCGAAGTCTAAAATCCTCGTGTCGAACGGACGACCTCGCCCCTCGCAGCGTCTTAGTCCCAATCTTAGTTCTTTTTCATTACTCTATCTGTCGGCATCTAGTCCGCGGATCTCGCTGGATCGGCTCTTCTACACATTTGTACCACTCAGCTCCCCTAACCACTACACGTTCAGCTCGCATGATATGGTACTACATGCCGTCTATTAGCTTAGACGTGCGTCACACAGCATTACTTTGATGTAAAGCACTGCATATAAGATCTGCTATGCATGCAGCCATCGTAGGCGGTGATCTTCCCGCGGTTACATCACATCTCCATGCTCAATCCCCACTTCTCAACCGACATGAACGCGATTGCGATCGATCGGGCATCTAAATCGAGGTTCGGCTGACAGACTTGCTGAGGCGTGCCGGTTACACCACATCAGGTATATCCTAACCCTTCCAACTGCACATCGCTGGATGATGTTCAAGGTGTATCCTCACAACGCTATAAATGATCAACTAACTAACCAAAAGAGACGAGCGAGACAAACGAATAGCGTCGGCGGCAACTGAGCCACCTCATTCCTGAGCTTACCGACTAGCAATAGCAGCAACACGATACTAAGGAACTCCCACAACGTCGTCCTCAGAACGGAAATGCCCACACTTCGCCAAATTTACGAAAGTCGCCTTCTCCCGTCCGCAATGTCCGGGTCGTTTTATAACTCTCCAATTTACATCGGCTAGATATTTGGGCTCGCTCTATCTCTTGATACAACACGACTAAGCACAAGATGAGTTGCCTCATAAATCATAGGCTCGCGTGTGGCGACGGATGTCTCCAGGTTGATGGAGAAATGGTATAGCCCTAAATTGGAGAAGGCTTACCTTTGTCTCGACCCTCACCTAAAGAGATGGTGTGGTGCTCCATGAAGAAATTGTTCCAGTGCTTTCTCCAGCTGACCCTACGTTCGTCCTCTGACACCTCTTCCGTGTCTAAATCTCATTTCCGTGGACGCTGTTTCAGCCAAGGCCACGGTGGCTCGGGCCATTGAGTGGATAAGGGTGCTGGGTTGTCTCGCTTCCACTGCTTGAGGATGTCTACCTCGAGGACTGCACTCTTCTCAGCTCTTCTCGACCTTGGATGAGGACCCACTAGTCGCACCTCATGTATTATACAGGGCGATCCCTCTGATTCAGATACTTCATGTTCCTGCTCACGAAGCTTCCTCTTCGGTTGGTGTAAGTGGATAGGCGTTTCCCATCGTGACTCGCACATACGTGGGTATTCTTGCGACGGAGGGTCTTCTTGAGGCGTATCTTGTTCTGGCTTTGGAGGCCATGCTCCCGGTGGCGGAGGTCTCCATTGTGGGAAGAAGGTACCTTCAGGCCATTCTATCCACGAAACCTGCTTCCTCTGTAAAACGCATTCTACGTTTGGACTGCATGGTACGTGAGTAATACTTCCATGAAGAAGCGACAGTAAGGCTGGGTCGCTCAGCATCTCATATGCGCAGTCGATTCTTTCCATGGCTTGTCCTTACCTCGTTCACTTCAAGCCAGGAGTATCGATTTCCAGTTTGGTCGGCTTCTTGATCGCCAATAGCAGAAGGTCTAGAATCGTCTGAGATGGCGATTGCGCGTACCGAGTTTGCGAAACCCCATCTAGTTAACCACTTTGTGCAAGTCATCTCCACGTTCTGGCTTTGTGTTTGAGTAGAAGACACCAAGACAAAGACCTTAATGTACTCCTTTCAGCCTATGCGGTATTATCGTTTGTTGCATTGTCGCATGATAATGGTAAAGAATAAGATGCTAAGTCGACGCGCATTTAGTTGCACAATCGTTGCAGTAAGCTTGGGTAAGCTTTCCGATCGCGGTATTGGTAGGTGATGGGACAAGTAGCACAGTCGAAAGCTAACAGTATTCTTTGCATGGTTTCCTTTTATCGACAACAAGGGCGATCGGTAATGTCAGTGTGTTATCGTCGCAAACCTGACGCGATGTTTACCTCGACATGTGATGCATAGCGCCTGCCTCGGTAGCTATGGTAGGGAAAGTAGAGTGCACCACGAACAGCGCGGTATCTGATTAAAGCTCATCTCGCTTCAAGGGGTTAGAATACACGATAGTAGCAAGGCGTTCAAGCCAGGCTGGAATAAGGAAACAAGGCACCGCGGCCTGTACTGGTGGAAGTTGGCGCCAAGCTGAATCCCCCGTATTTTCCCCGCTGTCCGAGTAGGCGATCTTGCCTTTCAGCCACGCATACACGGGAAAATCTGGGGATGCATACTTCCACCACTCAATACCACAACATCAAGCCACCATTCTACCGTTGCACACTGTGCTCTACCTTTCCTGAGGCGGAACATACGCCCGCCAAGATGGGCCAAGATGAAGTACAGCATCGCCACAGGAGATATTGCATGCACTTGCGCGATTGGGAGATGTTCGAGCCTGTGTGACAATGCGCCATCAGCCATTCTACCGGAAGAATTGCTGAAGTGCTTGCCTGGAAGCCGACTGCATGGCTACATTCTGCCTCCTTGGTTGCCGACGCTTAAGAATGGTAGAATATAAAATGTAAGTGACATCGCTGGTAGATCGGCATCAGATCACTCAATCTCATCTGCATCCTCTCCTACACTTCAAGATGAAGCTCTCAATCCTATCACTCCTTTCCTTGGCTCTTTCTGCGACTGCAGCTCCCGCCGGCTGCGACTTTAGCCTGGTCGGATTCGCCAAGGACAATCCAATTGGACCTACCACTGGCGGTGCTGGCAGGCATGGCAAGAGTGTGACTGTTCGGACAGTGGCCGAGTTCATCAAGGCTGTCAACGGCAGTGAGCCAACAGTTGTGTACGCCAAGGGTAGCTTCAATCTCACATCGCGAGTTCAAGTTGGGTCCAACAAGTCCGTCATTGGAGTCGGCAAGGGAGCTCAGATCACTGGTTCGGGCCTGAACATCTTCAACAAGACCAATGTTATCATCCGCAACATTGGTTTCACGGCCATTGACGATGACGCCATGACTATTCGTAACAGTACCCGCGTGTGGATCGATCACAACGAGTTCACTACTGGCAACTTCCCTGCTCTTGGCCCTGATGCTTACGACGGCCAAGTCGATATCATTCGCGCGGCGGATTGGATCACGGTATCATGGAACTACTTCCACGATCATTGGAAGAGTTCTCTTGTTGGCAACAGCGATGCGCTCAGAGATGTTGACCAGGGTCATTTGCACGTCACCTACCACCACAACTACTGGAGAAACGAGGGTACCCGTGGTCCTGCTGGTCGTTTTGGTCACCAGCACATCTTCAACAACCTCTATGTCGACTTCTTGTACCAAGCCATCCACTCCCGCAGCGATAACCAGGTTCTCGTCGAAGGTAATGTCTTCAAGGGCAAGACACGCGAGGCTCTCAGCACTTACGGACTTGTCATCCCGGAGGACAGCCCCAACACTAGCCCCGATGGCGATTACGAATTGGACGGCTTCGCCAACCTCGGCGCAAAGAACGACTTTGGAAAGGCTGGTGTCAACATCACTCAAGTCGGCAACTTCACCAGGGCGCCTTACAAGTACAAGCTTACTCCACTGAAGCAGGTCGAGAAGATTGTAAAGAGCGGCGCTGGTCTCGGCAAGATCTGAGTGATTGCTCCGCAAACAAAAATGTGTCTAAAGCAGCTATATGCTAATAAGTAATGATAAAATGTTTAGTACCTATCATCTGCCTTTCCTTCGATATCGTGTTTTCATTCATGCCACTGAGCGAACCCAGCCTTCTATCCTTCCAGGATTATCTTTTTGTCTTCCTCTAAAACCCCATAAAATGAAAGATGCAGCATCACTCCTCCATCTCCTCTTCCGAGGATCTACACAAGCAGATGCCACAGGTTAGAAGTCATGAGAAGTACGGAAGGCAGCACTCTCGGCTCGTAACAGCTCATATCCGCGATCACTTCCGGATGCTTGATCCGCCCAATCGTAAACCCACGACTCAATGAAATGTATTTCTATCCTAATCTCCAAAGGAATCGAAAACCAGATCACTGAATTCGTGCAGGCTCGGAAATCTGGCCTATTAGCAGACACTCCGGGTCCGAGAGGCATTCTTCTTCCTAATCTGCGTATGTAGAGCAATTACTGTCGGCTTCGTCTGAACAAGGTACGCTGCGCTGTTTCGTTCATACGTCAGATGCTGTTCCAGGAAAGTCGCTGATTCCTGCAAAGTCTAGAGTAACCTTTCTCGAGTGCCGTTGACCATATGTTATTTTGACAGTGATCTGCGCTTGAGCCTCGACTTGTGCACATACAAGTCTGTCGCTCTTGCAAGATTCTCATTCGTACGTACTAGTTTTTGTACTTGAACGTTACAAAACCCTTCCTTGAATAACACATTTTATTTCTGGAACTGTGGCCCATTCGAATTGGATACATGACGCTGCCACAAGTAACGCTTCGTTTGCTTCCGACACATATATTGACTTTAAATATTGGGCGAACATTGGTCCTTGGCTTCGATGAACCAGAAACTAGAGTATTAGAGGACTGGAAGGATGGTGTCATGGTTTCGTACTCAAAGCTTCACCATGTACGAACGCAGGTCTTTTCGCTGAATCAGGTCATCAACCTACGTACGATGTTGACTATCCCACCTCAATCTCTCCATATAATGTGGCTACTTGAGATCGCATCACTATCGGAAGAGCTTGATGAGCTTTTCGAGCCCAGGGATTGGTATCAATATATATATATATATAGACTGTTAGGGTCCCAAAACACATGGCGATACACAACACGAGATCAAGTTTTGTAACTGAGAAACTCTTTCGTTGTGCTCTATGATCGCCAACTCTTTTGTTGAGGCATAGAACGTATGTGCCCAGAGTCGACCCTTGGACGGGGCTTGTCTCGTAATGCTTGAATTGAATCAATCGTGATGGTATATCTACACGAAATGTACAGTATCAGTACAGATGCCTCCACCTACCCATATCTATTATGGATGCGCCGCTACCCCACCCATGGGCCTCTGCCCTTGTGGGTTATTTGGCACAACGGGTTGCAATTCGTCGACAGCCTGATCGTACTCGGCATTGCTCATATCAGCGCCCGCACCCAGACCCTCTTCCTGCTGCCCACTGAACATTTGCGCACGCATCGACTGCTCATCCTCAATCTGCTTGGTAGCCCAAGCCTTCCAGTTCTCCCATGTGCGGTCTTCAAGCTCCATACCGATCTCGAGGGGACCCTTGCCAAAGTAGGCGCCGACGTGCAGAGCTTCTTCCTTGGCAATGCGTTGACGGATCTCGGAGAGGTGACGGTGTTGGTAGAATTCGCGGCGTGCTTGGTCGTAGGCGGAGGCTTTGGAGAGGGAGGCGTGCTTCATGAGCCACATTTGGCGTTGAACGACACTACATGTGTCAGTATCACGGGGGCGGGCGTAGTGAAAGTGGCTGGTCGTACCTTTCGCCGTCTAACTGCTTCCCTGGCTGGACAATTTTACTCCAGTCGTAGTTCTTGGAATCGTTTCCGCTGTTTTCGATGACCAGCCTCGGCCGTGCCAGTTCCCATGGGTGGTCGCCGAAGAATTCTGAACGCAGCTTGTCTTCTGGGTATTCAATGGGTAGCGGTTTGAATAGTTTGCTGGCTTTCCGCGCCTTCCTCATCTTTGGTATGCGCAGTACTGGGCGTGCGAGGGTCTCGCCTGGCGGTATGTTGCCTACGACATCGTACCATTGGGGCAGGTTGAGGTCTCGTTTTGAGTCGAAAAGGGCTTTCGCAGTCTGGCGCACCCGGAGAGGGCGGAAGTCGTAACGGCCCATGGCAGCAGGTTGGGCGGCGCGATTCGTCGTGTCGTAGATGCTGGGGTTCTTGCCCGCAAAGTCCGCAACTTCGCCAAGACTTCGCGACGCCGAAATCTTTGGATTCGAGCAAGGCGACTCGCCGCAACACCAACAATACCCCCTTCGCCTAGGCAGCTCTTCAATGAGCTCCTTGTAATCAATTGCGGCCCACATCACCAATGGACAACGTCTGAACTGGCTCCCTCTGACACAATGCTCGACTTCTCATGTCCCTCCTCCGCACCCTCGACCGGACCTCTGCTGTCTCGAATACCGCCCATGCACGGCCCTTCCTCACATTCTTGTACCCACGCCACGAGGACACGCCGTCCAAGAGAAGATTCAGCAAGAAGGCGATAGACAATGCTCGGCGACTACCCGAACCGACGACTGCTCGCATGGGCACTTTCTTCGTCAACGCCTTGGTGCGGGCAGCATCATGCCCAAAGCATGCACAGCTCCTACACACTCTGCGCGGGGTAGAAACAGCGCCGCCAAAACATCAGACAACGCGGGGACAGAGCACGTGGTCAAAGTCTGAAGAGGATGGATCCGACCCACGTCCAGAGCGCAAAGGCCCGCTCAAGAAAGTCCAACGCTTCGCCGAGAAGGAACTGCAAGCCTTGATAGACTACTACGGCATGGAGATCGACACGCGGCCCGAGGCAGAGGTTCCAGACGACGGGAACTTGGTGTGGAATGTTGGTGATAGCCATGTGCCCTGGCCCCTCCGCGACCCATCGGACGCTGTGCACATTGACGAGTTGCAGACTCTGCTGAAGAACGAGGAAGCACCGCACCAACATGTCTATGATGCATACAAGAAGCTGCAGTCGCCGGGCGTTGTCTATCTCGATACTCTCACCATCCGGGCGCTGCTGCACCATCTCGCTGTCGTCGAACGCCCCACACCCATCGCAGCCCAACGCTTCCTCTCTATCCTCGACGATATGAAAACCGCACACATACACATAACCCGCTCCGAGTGGACGTCAGCCATACACCTGACTGGTCGCGCCATGGGGACTGTATCCGAAGACGACCTGCAAGCCTCCCTTCGCATCTGGCAGGACATGGAGCGCCGAGCCGGTCTTAAGGGTGGCTACGTGACATTCAACGTACTCTTCAACATCGCTGTCAAAGCGGGGAAATACTCTCTAGCCGAAACCTTTATGAAAGAGATGCAGGACCGAAAAGTGCCCATGCACAGACATTACCGTGTAGCACTTCTCTACTACTACGGCGTGTTACAAAATGGGAATGCTGTAAGGAGAGCATATCTGGACATAGTCTCGGCGGGAGATATTGTAGACACTGTTGTCATGAACGCTGTCATAGCAGCGCTGATGCGCGCTGGTGAGCCCTCAGCCGCAGAACAAGTCTTCGAGCGCATGAAGCGCTTGCACGCCATGAGGACCACCACCGCACCTGGCCACGTATTCTTCAACCGCAAATGGCGCCATGGTCGCCTTCTGGGCTTGCGCTTCAGAGACGAGACACGAAGACTGAAGAGAGAGAGCAAAGACGAGGAGTTGAAGCAATTACAAGACTTTGCGCCCATTGGTCCTGATTCAAGAACATACGGCATCCTGATACGGCATCATGCAGCGGTAGCCGGCAACATCGACCGCGTGAACGAGCTGCTACAAGAGATGAAGTGGAATTCCGTTCCACTCGACGGCACAATATTCATCGTCGTCTTCCAGGGCTTCAACTCCTTCGGCGGCGTCCGCTATACCTCCTGGACCGCCTTTAGATTAGAGAAGATATGGCACCAATATCTGCAATCTCTGAGCCAGAACCTGGAGCGAACCTGGCTCTCTAGTCTCGCTGTCATTGCGGCGCTCAAAGCATTTGGACGATGTACAACCCCGGAAAGGACACTGAAGGCATGGGAGGAGATTCGCGCGCTGTGGCAACCCGACGAACAGGAGCTGGAGGCCGTGATGATGGTCCTCAGGAAGCTGGTGCCGAGTCAGTTGGAGACGACATCCAGTCCAGGATTCTTCGATGGGAAAAGACCATCGTGAGCAGCACTACCAATAGTGCCACGCGGCGTCACTATCATTGTACACGCGTTCTGTATCACTTTTTTGTAAAAATAATATGTGGAGTTATTCCGGTCAGCATGTGTGTATGAATCTGATACGGGAGATTGTGTACCGAATGAATGGCCGCTGTAAAAACATACCGAGGTCCTACAGCACAGTACAGTCATCAGATAGAGAAACAAACAAGTGAAAGAAAGGGTCCAGGGTCGTCTTCCCGTACCAATGATTCATGAATCATGAATCGAATATTATACAAGGGTATACCTTTCTTAGTGACCATCGTCATCTCCGGTTCGTCGGTCAGTACCCGTTCCATTGTGGATGGCTTTGACCCTGTTTGTTGCACGGATTACTGTGCAAGCAATCTTGTCTTCATTTCGGTCCAAGGGATGCAGTCATGGGATTTTGCAATAAGTCGATTTTCCGTGGCATGGAATTGTTGGGGTTGCGTTGAAGGGTCGTTCAGGTCGCGGGCGAGGTTTAAGATGACAAGCCGCAGTGCTAATTTCTAATCGCGGCTTGTATTGTCGAGCTAAATCTCTGGGTTCCGACTTGATACATTACTCAAATGTCGAAACAGTGGTAATGTAGATATCTCACAGAAGCCGGTGGGTCAAGATTGGAAAGTCATGGTTGTGATATGAGTCCCATGTTTGCCCATGTCGATCGATACTGAAGAGTACCGATGCCACCCTTCGTATACCACAAGGCAAAACATGCATCTGGAATTTCGATGTTTTCTTTTGGGAGA